GTGCTCCTTAAGCAACTGATACTCCTTCCCTTTGGTCTCCCAGAACATCAGCTGGTTTTCGTACACAAGGCAGTGACATCCCTAATCAGAAAACTAAAGTTGTGATGCAATAAAAAAGTGGAACTCTTGAAGAAAAATTAAACCTGTCACCACTATGGGTATAGTTTTATAGCACTTTTTGTTCTAAAGCACTTAATACGTTGTCCAAAATAGACATCTAATTATAGCTGAAATGCCACATTAAGAGTGTTTTTAGTAAACAATTAACACATTACGCACATCTCTTCCAGGAAGGAGTGGGGGGGAATGGGTAGGTTGGCTAGATTTTGTTTTTTCAGATGCCATAAACTACTAAGAATTGTAGTCTCTGGAGCAGGAGGGATCAAAATGCCTTCCCGGGAGCTGCCAAGCTCAGCGCACCAGCCGGTCTCCCCACGCCTGGCACCCTTCCTAGGCTGCCTCTGAGGGGGGGAGGAAAAAAAACTGTTGGTTGTTTCTAAGAAGAGTCTGTTGGTGATGTGTCAGTATGACACATTGCTGTTGGTGATGTGTCAATACGAAAGCATAGTCTGTTCCCTTCCCAAAGGCTGCATCTCGTGGCTTTCACTGTTGTCTGCAAAATGCTTCGATGTCCAGGTGTACGGTTTTGTACATCGGGGTTCGACTCAAGTTCTGCCGAGCAGCAGGGCAGGATGCAGCAGCCCTCTGTTGGCAGGACTTCTGAGCTTTACGTTTCATCTATAGCATTAAGGTTAATCTCAGGCCACCGACACGAATGGGTGAAAGGCAGTAAACCCTTGCGAACCCAGAATGTCTCTGTTGGGTAGATGGAGATGTCCGTGTTCTCCTGTACTCTCACACCAGCATTAGCCAGTATCTCCATCCTGTTCGTTTTGTCCAAAACCTTCAGTCCTATTTTGCTGCCACCTCAAGTGAGAAAGTGAGGCTGCGGATTTCCACCTAACAAATCTCTTACGTGACAGCCGGCCAGACAAGCGGGCTGTGGCGTCAGCAGTCCCTGACGGATGGGAAAGACGCTTCGGTTGATACCACAAACCACTGGTGCTTTCTTACTGTCCTGAAATGTGGTTCTGCTCTCAGGAGTATCTCCGGAGTTTTCATGGTGTTGCTACCTACCAGCTTGGGATCTCCTCGACTCTCTCCTGCTGCCAGGACAGTTTCCTCTTAATTTGGCTGGTCGTTATTGCTATGACAGGCATAAAAAGTCCAGCTTCCAGACCGAGGCTGGCTGTGCAATACTGATGGAAGAGAAAGTCAGGAAAGCTTTTCGTTATCCACATTAAAATTTGGCTGAAACTGTGTGTAATAACATAACTAGTCTTTAGGACAGAACCCCACTTCAGGGTAGGGAGGACAAATAGCAGTAGGAGTGATAAACACAGATGGCTCTTGTCGTGTAGCTCCTTCTGAAAGTCTGGAAAAATCACTGTTGGCAAAGCAATATGAAGCTGATAATCTCTTTGGGATGGGCAGGACTGGTGTGGGTGAAGGCGATGGAATGACTAGCTTGTATCGAATGAATGACACTTTATAAAACTGTGATTTCTTGAAATTAACATTTTGACCTGCATTTTCACAGGAAAAAAAATAAAGCTGGAAAAAAAAGGTTCTTCGTTCTCATTGCTAGTGTTTTGATACGTCATCCCAGAGAACAAGACTGGTGCCGAGTAAGGCATTTTTCAAGAAGGGAAGCCTGGTCTGGTTGAACTCTGCTGTATCTTACCCTAGTTTTGGGGGATGCAGGGAGAAGTCGCTTCTGGGTGTGAAGAGGCAGCAACAACTTTGATGGATCTGAGCACAGGATTTGCTAAATATACTGGCATCTCTCTCTGTTTCCATGTAGATAGTCCCTTTTCCTCCTCCTGTCCCAGTGCAGGCAGGGGGATTCGCTGTACTGGGAGCTGCTGAGTCTTCCCCTCGATAGCACCAAAGTAGGTCTGGGATCCAGAGGCACCGGGTTGGGCAGGCAGGGCTCTGGAGATTCGCCAGTGCTTCTGCTCGCTGTTGGTGCAGGAGCCGTTTGTCTCCACTTGGATGGTGCCTTTCTGTTAAATGGGCGCAGCGGACTGGAGGTGTGCTGGTGGCACTGCCAGGGAGCGTGCGAGGTCAGTTATCCTGAAACGTAAACCCCAAAGTGAAGGTGGGGTGGGGGCTGCTATCAGGTACCCGCTTGTACTGTGAGCACCGAAGTCGGATCAGTTGTCGGCAGAAGGAGGTGGGTGTTTTGTTGCTGTAAAGCTACAGATGGGCTTAGGGAAGCACTAGGCCGCCTCCTGTCTCTGAGGACAGCCCGCCTGAGCAGCAGTGTAAAATCACTCGTGCTGGGCCTTTGCCCTGGGCCTTTGTGCTGGAGTTAGGCCCTCCCTGCGCCGCCTGCTCCTCGTGCCCTGGATGGCAGAAGCCGTGGCCTCCTCGCCCAAGTAGCCCCGCAGAGATGGGCACGTGTCCGTGCAGGTGCCCGGGCTCTGGTAGCCTTCTCCTCAGGGACACTTGTGTAGTCAGAAGTGGGACTGCCCCTTGGAAGAGCCACACGCCCTGGCTTTTCCCTTCTCTTGTCCTCACGTTTTCACCCATTAGATCACGGCTGCCTGGAGGCCGCCAGTCCTGGAGGGAGCTGCAGGGCCGAGCAGAGCCTTGAAGTTACCCTACCCCCAGCCCCAGGCCGGGCAAGTCAGGAACACATCTTCCACTGGAAAATGTTCAAAGGAGCACGGTCGCCACTCCTGGCAGCCCTTCCTTACGCAGGAGGTCACGCGTTGTTAGCGGAGCCTCAAGCAGTAGCTTGTGCATCCCTCCCTTCCTCCCTCCATCCTTCCCTCCATCCCTCCCTTCCTCCCTCCATCCTTCCCTCCATCCCTCCCTTCCTCCCTCCATCCCTTCATCCTTCCCTCCCTCCCTCCATCCGTCTTTTCCTCCTTCCCTCCCTCCTTCCCTCCCGCCATCCTTCCCTCCATCCCTCCCTCCATCGCAGCATCGCCCCCCCATGCAAAGCTTCACCCCGTCTCACAGACAAGTGCTTTATCCTCGGAGTCATTTTATTTCCAGTTCTGCTTTAGATTAAACGGGATTTTAATATATAAAAATAATGTATACAAATTAGCAGTCAATGTTTTACATTTCTGGCTTAAAGGCATTTATAATTTACACATTCCTTTCCCTTCCCTCCCCTTGGAGCTTGTGTGTGATACGGAGCCGGCTGGCGCTTAGCATCGTAATTACAGCAGGAAGCCGTCGCTGCTCTGGCTCACAGCGAGGACTTGCCCTGGCCTAAAAGCTGGGGCTAGCGAGAATGTACACGGCAGCCACGCGCCCTCGCAGCAGGGCGAGCGGGGGCCGTTTAACGATGTAAATGCGCTAACAGGTTAACTGGGACAGCGCGCGGTTCGGCTGTACGCAGCAGCAGCAGGGCAGGGGAGGAATCGAGTCCAGTGCGGTATCTGGAGGCTCGTGCAGCTCTGGCCTCTGTCTCCTGCGTGATTTCAGCAGTGCCCCTGCAGCGTTCGGGATCGTGGTGGTGGCTGCAGGGGCCGGAGGCTGCCTAGCACCAGCTGCATGTTGCGTCCTGCAACCGCTGGCTAACGGGGAGCAGCCTCGGGCTCCCCGAGGGCTGACGGGCACCCCTGTGTCCGAGCGGCTCCAGCCCCGACAGCGAAAGCGGATGCCAGGGCTGCAGGAGGGCAGAGCTAGCTACCAGCTTGCAGAGACCTGAGGATAGGAAATCCTTGCCCCTGCTGCTGATGTCGTAGCTACGGAGCCTCCCCTGCAGTGAGGAACAGACTCACCGGAGCCTTGGGATCCTGGGGAGGTCCTGTTTATGGGTGTTCCAGTCCCTGCTCCCGTAGCACAGAGAAATTTTAAGGAAGACGTATAAAATCACTGTAAAATAGCACCCCTGCCAGCTCCTGGGGTACGGGAAGCGCCCAGGGTGGGATCTTTGCAGCAGGTTCCTCGCTGGAGAGCAGGCGCAGCCCATGCCTGCTCGGCTCTGCAGCGGAGGAGAACGCGGGGCTCAAGGGGCCGGGGGAGATGGGGGAGATGCAGCCCTCCTCCCCTCCTGCAGCGGGAAATCAAAGGCACCAGCAAGCTGAAGAGTGGGGCACGCCGGTGCGCGGGGCTGACCCCGAGACAGGCGTGCGATGGAGCAGCTCTGGGGTAGGGATGGGGCAGCCCCTCGTTTCCTTCCGAGACAAGTTGGGGCCCTTTCTGTGCCCCCCCCTCCCTGCCCGTGCCCAGGAGGGTCCCCCAGCCCTGCCAGCCGGGGGGAGAGGAGCTCAGAGGCGTCGCTAAGCAAGCGCCGGGGGATCCCTGCGCCGGACCCACGGGCATGCGGGGTGGGAGCTGGCACGCTAAGCAGCTGGAGCAGCTAGGAGCAGGCACTGTCCCTCCGCCCCGCGTCGTCCCGGGCTGGCAGGCTGATGTCCTGGGGTCCCGTCTGCGTCGGGAGGATGGTCCTGCCCCGGTCCTGGCAGCTGCAGGGACGCCGCCGGTCACAGCGAGATGTCCGGCGTCGCCTGCAGGCTCTGCCCCGCAGCCCGTTTCTTGGCGCTGCCGCGGCCCTTGTCTGCGCGCCGGTAAGGGTTGTTCCGCAGATCTGCACCGGGAGAAAGCGCGGAGGCTGGCTGAGCTCCACCTGCCCGCCCCGGCGAAGGCTGGGACCCAGTCACCCACCACCGCCCAGGAGTCCCCCACTTGGGTACCAGCCCGGCCCGCTGCACGCAGAGACAGGAGGAGCAGCAGCTATGGCCAACCAGCCTGCGGGACCCCCTCTCTCGGCTCTTTCGGTGCCCAGCACCGCGCCGTGGGGCTGGGGCTGATGCCGTGGTGCCCCTTGGGGTTGGCTTTTGGCACGGAGCAGGGTCCAGCCAGCCTGCCACGCAGCCAGAGGTGATGATGGGCCGAGAAACCCAGGAGGGTGCCAAAGTCTGGCAGCCCCTGCCTGCGCCGTGCCCTCACCCCCAGCCCGGCTGCCCCCACGTTACCTACAGAGGACCCTCCTCGTTGAAGCTCACGTCACAGAAGAGCCGGGACGAGCGCTTGCCCGTCCGGGCCGTGAAAGGAACAGTTTTCAGAGCTGAGCAGAGCAATCCAGAGAGACAGCGAGGAGGAGGAGGGAGGAGGAAGAAGCAGAAGAGGAGGAAGAGCTATGAGACAGGGCAGAAAGCGCTCGGCAGCTTTGCCGCGTGGGATGGGAAGGTGCTACAGGTGGGTTTGGTCCCCACGATGGGGCTTGGTGGCCCTCGGCTCCAGGCTGTGACAGCCCCCCGCAGCCCCCCAACCCCGAGGGTCTCCTCGCTGGCACCGAGCGCTGGGTCTGCTGCAGGGGGACGCTCGACCGCGCACCTGAAATAATCCCTCACCTGAAATAATATCCTCGATGGCCCCGTCTTTTCCTTCGTAGATGAGCGGCTCCTTCACCATCTGCTTCTTCTTCAGCTCGGCGATCATGTCCATCTGCTGCCGCTTGGCTTTCTGGATGGGCAACTGCGGTTGGGGACAGCGCGGGGTGAATGGCGTGGCCTCCCCCACCAGCTCTCCCCCACCGGGACCTGCGTTGCCCTTCCCACCACGCAGCCCTGCTCGGGGCTGGAGCGGAGCCGCCCCACCAGGACAGAGGGACGTGTGGGGCACCTTTACCTCAGGCTGGTCCTTGCTGCCGGGGGGGCTGGATTCTGCCTCTTTGGCCGCAGCTTCTTGTTTCTTCCACAGCTCAATGTCCTGCTCTGCTTTCTTGGGAGAGGCGCAGGGAGGGTGTGCTGAGCTGGGGGGGTCCTGCCGCGGGACCGCAGCCCCCCTTCCTCCCCTCGGCAGCCCCCGGCTCACCCCAACCCAGCTCCAGCATCTCCGACCGCCCCGACGGGCAGCACTGAGCCCCATGGTCCCATGTGCGGCTTTTTCTGGTTACCCCAAAGCAGGGTCAGACCCCCCCAATCCACTCCCAACGCCCAGGAACAGGGCACCCCCCCATCCCCTCCTACCTTGTAGGCTCTGATGAAGCGCATGAACATGGGGAAGAAGGTGGTGGGGGGGCTGGTCTTGGGGTTCTCCCCAAAATACTCCACCGCCGACTCGTACGCCTCCTGCAGGCAGAGACACCCCGATCCGGGGGGCTGGGGCCGGGCAGCGGCGCCCCATCGCCCACTGCCTCCTTCCAGCCTCTCCCACCTCGCCGTCCCCCTCTGCATCCCGCCGGAGCCACGTCTCAACCGGGAGCCTCTCCCACAGGGCGGAGGTGTGAGCAGAGGGCACCCCGGGGTGTCCCCACGTAGGAATGGGGGGCCCAATCCTGCCCCACGACCCCGCGCTACCCCCAGCACCCACCTTGGCGGTTTTGCTGTCAGCCTGCAGCTTCTCCATCACCTCTGAGTTGACCTTGAGGAATTCCTTGAGCACGAGGCTGTCGTCCTGCCGCATGAACTCCTTGCGGGTCAGCTCCATCCCCTGCTGCAGGCTCCGCACGTCCTGCAACACGCTGTCCAGGGAGACTGCGGGGAGGGCGAGCAGCGCCGGGGTCAGGGCAGGCTCCGAGAGCCCCCGCGCCAGGGCTGCAGCCTGCCGCGACCCCCCCCAGCCCGGTTCCCGCGGGTGCTACCTGTGCCCGCCTTGTCGAGGAAGTGCAGCTCGGTGTGGAAGCCGGTCAGCTCGGGGTACTTCTCCGTGATCACCCGCACCAGGTAATGCAGCAGCGTTTGCTTGCGGTCCGTCGACTTCATCTCCAGGAGCTGGGAGAGAGCAGCGTCAGCCCCGACCTGCATCCCACCATCCCACCTCACCCCTGCTCAGGGCAGGCTCTGGTGGCCCTCCATCCCCACGGTTCTGCATCGCTCCGTCCCCACGGTTCTGCATCCCTCCATCCCCGTGGCTGGTTCCCATCTTCCTCCACCCCCACAGCTGGTCCTTGCATCCCTCCATCTCTCCATATCTGCTCTCTGCATCCTTCCATCCCCACCGTTAGTACTTGTGTATCTCCATCCCTTTAGCTCCTCCCCAGCCCTATAGATGGTGCCTGCATCCCTCCATCCCCACAGCTGAATCCCATCTCCCTCCATCCCCACGGCTGGGCCTTGCATCCTTCTGTCCCCACAGCAGGTTCCCAAGCCCCTCCATGGCTACAGCCGGTCCCTGTGTCCCTCCGTCCCCGAGGCTGGTCCCTGGGCAGTGACAGTGCTCCAGGACACCGGGCAGCCCCGCGCCAACCCTACCGCATCGAGGCTCTGCAGCCGGAAGCCGTAGGCTGCCCCGCGCTTGCTGCTGTTCATGTAGTTCCCGAAGGCCAGGACAATCTGCGGAGACACAACGGCTCGGGGACACAACCCGGCACGGATGGGGCACCCCGGGGGGGGCACAGTGACTACACGCACCCTGCGTGCACCCGTCCCAGCCCAACGTCCCCCCATCAGGGCCACCGCCCCCCAAACTCCTCACCTCAAGAATGTTGCGCAGTTTGCTGGAGGACTTGAGGGACATGGAGGCGGCGATGATGGCGTTGAGTTGCTGTGGGTGGGAGGAGAAGCGCTGAGTCTCGCTGCAGATGGATGCCACCCCCTCGCAGCCCCCCACCCACAGCCACCCCGTGCCCCCCAACACCCACCGGCATGAGCAGCTGGGCCGTGTCATTGAAGTTGCCCAGGAAGATCATGACGTTCATGCGCTCGGCCAGGCGCGGGATCTTGCTGAAGCGGATCATGAACTGGTCCTCATCCGAGAGCTCCTCCAGCGGCTTCTGCTCCCGCTCGAACTTCCCGATGAGCGTCCGCTCGTACTCGGTGGGTAGGAAGCGCAGCAGCAGCTCCAGAAAGTCGAGGCTCAGGGCTTGCTGGTCATACCTGCGGGTGGTGGGAAACCACCCTGTCACCCATGGCTGGTTCCCATCTTCCCTTCATCCCCACAGCTGGTCCTCGCATCCCTCCATCTCTCCATATCTGCTCCCCGCATCCCTCCGTCCCCATGACTGGTTCCCATCTGACCTCCATCCCCAAGGCTGGTGCCATCACCCCTCCAACCCCAGCACACCCTGCACCATCCCGACCCCTTGGCATAGCTGGGCTCGCGTCCGACCTTCTCCTGATCATCTCCCATCAAGGAGGGGACACTCACATCTCGATGGCTGTGCAGATGTCCTGGATGCTGCGGCCGCCCTTGCGGAGGGTAATGGCCAGGTTCTTGGCTCGGTTGGACTCCATGAGGGTGACCTTGCTGGGAGCCTTCTGCGTGGCCTTCACCTTGAGGGCACTGATGTCCAAGCCAGGGCCTTGCGCCTTGGTCTTGAACTGCTCCTCAAAGTCACTCATGTCCAGCTCCTGTGGGGAGACAGGGCTGAGGGCACGGCAAGGAGGCGACACAGGACATCTGGGATGGGGACGGGGCCAGAGGACCAGGACGAGGGGGAGAGGAGTGAGAGGATGAAGGTGGGGCAACTGGATGAGGTCAAGTTGAAGGGATGAGGATGGAGCAAGGGGACAAGGACAGGGACAGGACAAGGGGACAGGGAGGGGGTAAGGAGGGGATGAGGGGACCAGAGGATGAAGATGAGGAAGAAGACAGGACAGGCTGTGAGGATGAGGATGGAGCAAGGGGACAAGGATGGGGTGACAGGAGAAGGATGGCAGACCCCATGTTGTCCCTCTCCACGGCCCCAAGGAGCTGCTCCAACCTCCAGCTCCTCCAGCAGCCACGTGGCACCACGGATGGGTGCAGGGTGGTCACGGGGGCGACCTCAGCACGGGCGCGGTGCGGACGCTGCACCCGGACCCCCCCCGGACCCCGCCGTGTCCTCACCTGCAGCACCTTCTCGTCGTTGAGCTCGGTGAAGACGGTGCCATCGATCTGGCTTGGCTTCAGTGCCACCCAGTTGAAGACGGGCATGCGAAATTTGGTCTGGATCGGCTTCTTCACCTTCACTGCAGGGTGACGGGGAGGGGGCACACGTCACGGGGTGGGGGGGTCCCAAACGCACCCCAGGGTGCCCCCAGCCCTCGCCTGGGGCCGTCCCCACCGTCCCTGGGCCACACTCACCCGAACCGCCGGCGGCCTGGG